TTCACATGCCTGCTACACTCACATGCCTGCTACACACACATGCCTGCTACATTCACATGCCTGCTACACACACATGCCTGCTACACACACATGCCTGCTACACTCACATGCCTGCTACATTCACATGCCTGCTACACACACATGCCTGCTACACCCACAGGCCTGCTACACCCACATGCCTGCTACACTCACAGGATGGCTACACCCACAGGCCTGCTACACTCACATGCCTGCTACACACACATGCCTGCTACACACATATGCCTGCTACACTCACATGCCCCCTACAGACCCGCATACCCCCTACACACCCGCATACTCCTTACACACCCACATAGCCCCTACACACCCACATACCCCCTACACACCCACATACCCCATACACACCCGCATACCCCTTACACACCCACATATCCCCTACAGACCCGCAGAGATACCCCTTACACACCCACATACCCCTACACACCCCATGCCCCCCTACAGACCTCAAGATACCCTCTACACACCCACATACCCCCTACAAACCCAAGATACCCCTACACACCCACATGCCCCCTACACACCCACATGCCCCCTACACACCCACTTGCCCCCTACACACACATACCCCCTTACACACCCACTTGCCCCTACACACACCCACCCGCATACCCCTACACACCCACTTGCCCCCTACACACACACACATACCCCCTACACACCCACTTGCCCCCTACACACCATACATACCCCCTACACACCCACTCTGCCCCCTACACACACACACACATACCCCCTACACACCCACTCTGCCCCCTACACACCCACTTGCCCCCTACACACCCACTTACCCCTTGCCACCTACACACACACACACATGCCCCTACACACACCCACATGCCCCCTACACACTTGCTTGCTCCCCTACACACCCAAATGCCCCTTACACACCCACATGCCCCCTATACACCCACATGCCCTATACACACCCACTTGCCCCCTACACATGTAATGACCATTCCGTAAATGACCAGCCCTTTTGGTTAACAAAACAATTCCCCCAAAAGTGTTATATCTGATCATACTGAAAGTCAAAAATAAACTTTAATAAACAAGGTTATAAATCAATTCATTGGATAATCCCTATACTCTCCAGCAATATGGACAAGCTGAAATGGGCAATTTCCCCAAATTGTCTCCCTTTCAGCACTTAGATCCCGTCCCTATAAATCGTGAGAATGAACATCCCACAGCACATAACAATCGCCATGTTTTTGTGTTGGAGGATAATGGCTGATTGAGACACAACATCTTGCAACCCGAGTAGCCTTACTCCTCTATAAAACACCAACAATACAACCACAAAGAGCACATCCAAATCACCCTTATCAATCATCTTTGATAAACCTAATACACCTCAGACCCACAATGCTTGTTTCCTGCTGACCAAACATGCACAAAAAAACACCCTGAGCACTTTTTCGGGCTGCTGGTTCCCCTGCTGTTATTGATGGCTGGCTGACAAGCTTATCAGTCGTGGTCAGTCTGCACTCTGGACACAGAATATCAGCCAGGTGGAGCGGACAGCTGTTCACTATGTCCATTCAAGTATCCTCTCAAGACCTTCCTTCTGATCTTAATGGTGTGGAGAGGCTATGTTAGTCAAACCTATAGAAAGGAATTAGCAAAGTTTTTGCGTCAACATGTCAATAAAAAGATCAATATTTTTGTAATTGGGCAAAATGGTTGTTAATGAAAGGTTGGGAAGAACATGAATATGGGAAAATATGGGATGCCTCAAACTGTGACATATGTTGATTCTTTCTTGGCTTTGTTAAAATCATCCTTCATGGGATAATTATTCACTTATCTTATAATTAATTCAATAACTAATAAATCATAATGGTATTTAAGAAGTTGAGATTGATAATACGATGTTTGAATTTGACATCCAACGATAGAGGGAAAATCAAAGCGTGTTTGAGCAGTTGAGCTGGATATTGGCGTATGCAAAATGTTAGGATAATAATAACAATTAGGATGCCAGTTATCTGAATTCTAGTTGTACTTTTGAATGAGGTTTTAACTGTTTTCGACAGTATTTTCAGTTACCTTACCTCACAGCATGTCAGCTTCATAGTGGAGGTGATGTGATGTGAAATTGGGTTTAATGTTGCACTGGTGTATATTTCGCTCATATGACAACGTGCATGCATGTGTATGTGTAGGTGCGGCTTCTTGTACTAGCCCAGACTTAAGCTGGTTTTATAGTGCTAGCCCACTGAGATATCATGCCGCAGTGAAGCATGAATTCCCCACCCAGACACATTATACTGACTCCAAGCCGACCAGTCCTTGTTGTACCCATTAATGCCGAGTGCCAGGCAGGGACCAACAAGTACCATATTTTAACGTCTTTGGTATGACGCGGTCGGGGATTGAACCCGTGACCTTCCACTCTCCGGGCGGACGCTCTAACCACTACACCACGGAGGCGGTCCTTCATAGTGGACCCATTTCTGGTGTCCCCCCGCCGTGATGTTGCTGGAATATTGCTAAAAGCGGCGTAAAACCAAACTCAGTCAGTCAGTCAGTCAAAACTTGTTGGAGTCCTAAAATTGTGGTTTGAATTCCAGATTCACCCAGCTGGTCGAAAATTTAGTCACAGAGACAAACTTATCTTATTTCAAAATACAATATATGTATCTTCAAAATATAGATTAAATTCAAAATGCAGCCTAGAGGTTGACGAATCAATTTTGACTTGAATTGCATTCAGTAATAATTAGTCCTTTTGTGTCTGGACAACTGTACCATACCGTACTAATGGGTTTAACCTCGGGGTTAAACATCCAGTTCCTGCAGCAGGTATCCTCCACTATGACTGACTGAGTTTGGTTTTACGCCGCTTTTAGCAATATTCCAGCAATATCACGGCGGGGGACACCAGAAATGGGCTTAACACATTGTGCCCATGTGGGGAATCGAACCCGGGTCTTCGGCGTGACGAGCCAACGCTTTAACCACTAGGCTACCCCACCGCCCCCCAACAAGTTTTGAAAAGGGGACACTAATACGCTTCAACAATTGCAATATGAATGACGTCATAGTCCTAACTGCCAGTTCACCTGATGAAGGGACCTGGAATGGTCTCGAAACGTCGTGAGAGAAATTAAAAAGAAGTTTAATCAACAAAAATATCTTGGACATCAATGTACAACTTCTAAATGCCACTGAAAGACATAATATGAATAAAGTAATATAGACGATTTGATGATTTGTTTTAGTCAATCCTTTGATCAAAATTTGTCCACATTTTATAGCTGACATCTGCTGACAGGACATATATTGATTCCTCGCTCGCTCGCTCGCTCCCTCTCTCACTCACTCATGCTCAGTCTGAATCATCACCAAACAATATCACCACCACAATAATAAAAGGCTTACATGAAGATGCCATGTCATATTGGTGACTAATTTGGAACCATTATATTGTCCTCAAAACATGAAAAAGAAAAGCATTTATTTTTTATGTATAATGTACTTAGCTTGATACCCATGATACAAGCAGGTATTCTTCCTATTTTCAGAGATGCTAACCCTATTTGTTTCTCTGCTGTTTATGGCACACTCAGCAATATTCCAGCTATATGTTGGTGTTCTCTGGACCAGGCAACCCTGTGATTGACATCATGAGCCTCAATCTATGCAACTGAAATGATGACAAACATCAACAAAGTCAGCGAGCCTGACCACCCAATCCCAATAGTCTCCTCTCACGATGAGAATGGGTTACTGAAGACCAATTTGGACACGGATAGTCTCAAAAGTGTCAGAACTTGTGTTTATGGCTTGAACAAAAAAATCATTACTATGGAAAATGTGTCTGTCAAAGAGCACTGGTGAATATTCAAACCTTTTTTTTTTTCCGTACATTTAAGATAGATCAACTTTTTATGTTACGTAAGGCATATGTGGCATAAACAGTACAAAAGCCATGATAACGCAAAATTTGCCCACAGATCATGAAGTCAGGGTTAAAATGGTAGTTTAAGATGAATAAATCAAACATGTCTGTATTTTCTGTCACAATGGCAAAAACAGCTCTCACACTCCTGGGCATAAAATCAACTAAGTGTGTTAAAACAGGAAAGGAAAGTCATTTGCCTTAAACACAAAATCCAGGGCCCACTCTGAAAATGAAATGGTCGGTGCCTTGTGTAATCCAGTTGATGCCAATAAAAAAATCACTTATCATTTTAACTCCAATTTAAGATTCTAAAAAAAATACAGAATATCAAACCCAAATTGGACATCACTTGATGTTGTCAGAATTAGAAACTGAACTTTGTTTGCATAATTTTCATTAACTTTGGAAATACAAGGAATTCTGGTCAAGGAATTGACCTCTTGTGGCCTAAGGTGTATTCAAGGGAAATAATGGGACGGGGGTAAATGCAGTTGGAGGCAAGTTGTCAGTCCATGTTACAGATCCAGCATCACACGAAGAGCTGATTATTGTAATTATCACAATGACTCAGGACGCCCATCTTTAGATGGTGTTAGAATGGGTCAGTTGTGAAATACTACTGGCAAAAAAAAGTAGAAACGTATTGATTCGAACCACAATGCAGGTTACCTTACTTTGCCCTTTCACAGTTGAATTTTCTCATGAGAGTGAAAAAAAAGATGAATTTTAGGTTTTAATCTTGGCCAGCATTACATATTATCAAACTCAGATTTAGACTTACGTGGCCTCACATGATTATATTGATGTTTTAATGTTAAGAGATATTGAATACTTTCACAACTTTTAATGTCTATTTAGTTTTTCTTGCATGAATTGTAATGCTTTTCTCTTGCATGAACTTATCATGATGAATTAATGTGAGGAAACACCACAATATATTTTTCAAAATGTTAATTAAAGAACTTATAAAATGTATTAAGAAAATACCTTACATGTATTCACACATTTTGAAAAAATGAATTTGAATTTTTGTAATGAATGACAAAATCTCCACATTCATCAAATTTAGTCATTCTGACCATTTACAAATGAGATAATCAAAGAAAACAATGGCATCATTCAGGTTTAAATGCCATTGTGTTTTTAGAAGGAGTTCAGCACAAAACACATCAGTTTGATGCACGTCAATATTGATGTCGCAGCTTCATTGTATGTCTGTACTGTCGAATATGACATATTATGAAAATCTGTCTTAATTAATATTTCTTCATGAATAATTCTGCCACTTGACTTCAGATTCTTCAAGCCTACGGATATTCCTGCCACACCATTCACACCGAAGAGGAAGATAACAAATGGACCAATCCACTCCACGGGAAGATGTTAATCCACAGTGGTTGGCCAGGAGTCTCAGAGTTAATTTCCCCATCTAATATCAACCCTGGAGCTCTCCAGTCTCCTTGACGTTCCTGGAATATCCTCTGTCAAGTGGGGCTGTCTTTTGACCACTTGAAATACTCCTTGGGGACTTCATTTGAAACACAGTTGAGAACAGGTCAACAATTGTGACCAATGAATTGGCAAGGTCATGACGGCCAGACAACGCCCAGGCAGGGCGCAGATAACATGATTGTGACACCTCGGAGGTTGAAACTTGCAAAGTAAATGGAAGCATTGTTAACTCCTTTAACTTGAGATATTGCTCAAGATGACATAACGTCCAGGTCCTGGTGGAATCTGAATTGACTCTTTGGTCTAATATTCACATGTGTGCTCTGCTTGTCTGGAAATATGGAGAAGGGATGAATATTTGAATTTTGAGTAGTGAAGGGTGTTGGGTTTTGAAATACTTGTTACTGAAAATACTGGAAAATAATGTCCTCAGGTTTTACCAAATAAATATCAGGATATCCTGATCATGCACATAAAAAGTGTTGTGGGTCCATGAATATTGTCTCCTCGTGCCAGACAAAAAACTTAGTCTTGAATCAGCGCCCTGAAAGTTATTCTGTCTACAAGCATCCATGGTCTCAAGCGAATATTTAAAGGTTGGTCTCTATCTCAGTAAAGTCTGGATGGCCTACATCACTTCCAAAAACACTCTTGTGTACATTCTAGCTTATCATGAAACAAAATTTTTTGTAAGCTTAGGCCAGACCAATTTTATTTCTTGTTTTACAGATTTTTTTCCTCAGAAAACCTAAAGGCAGGAGGGAAAAAAATAAATCAAATCAAATCACCAGTCAAAGTAATATTCTTTCTAAATGCTAAAAAGTATGGTACTTTTGGCAATTTATGAATTACATAAGGGGCCAAAAACAACGTAAAAACAAAATTTCTTGTATGTTTATACTTTTGGCCAATAAAAACATTAGGATTTTATTTTTTGAGTGGGGAAAATTCATTTTTATTTCTTATTCTTGAAAAAATATGACAGGCGGATCTGTAAAACAAGAAATAAAATTGGTCTGGCCTTATCATGAAACTGACATTTTTAAAGTTCCTTTGCATTATTAACTATTATAGTACCATATGTCACATTTGCCAACACCTGCACACTCAAAATTATTGATTAGCATACCTTAAAAAAAAGACAGGAAACAGAGAGTGAATAATATTGTTTGGTTAAGTTTGAATAATACTTATTAATTCCCTGGTTACCATGGTGACTTTAACACTTTTTACCATCCACATGACAGTTATCAGACATCCAAGGACATGTTGCTGTCCAAAGGTAGTCAGCTGGCTGTGTACACCTTCCTCCCTATCCAGATGATGGACATCAGATGGCCATTAGTATATAACTATAGGTTTAAAAATACCACTAGGACTCCCGAATACAGACCTGCTGCCCCATGGCCTACTCTGAACCTGAGACAAGTGAAACACAATAATCAGTATTGACTGGCCTGAAGCCATGTCTAATGACTAAGCCAACCAAATTTCTGAATTCTCTTTTACAAAAATGCAAAATCAGGAAAAAAACATACATCAGCCCTGAAGCAGATTACCATTTAGATTGATGTGGCATTAAAGTAAAGTTTAATGATTTATTATAATCAATTGTTAAAAGGAAAATCTCCATTTTGTCAGAAAGTGCTGAAAGGGTGACACTGGGATCTCTTAAGGGTTTTCTTTCATGCTCTCCGCTTGACCCCTGAAACCAAACAGGGCCCCTAAAGGAGCACAGCTGGGTTTCAATATTAGAAGTGTCCACTTGAAAAGAGACCATATTTATTCAGAGAGACCCTGCTTTGACTTTCATGTGCTCTTTGATGGGGAAGACTACAATGAGGACATGCATGCGCATGCCGTCACACAAAGTGACAATCAGGAGCAGGATTTCACCATGCTCCAAAAGCAACAATTAACATGTGCTTCGGCACTTGTGCGTGTTCGGCAGATTAGTGACACGCTCATATCGGGCTCTTTTCATAATTATTGTCATCAAGATCTGGCAAAATTATAGCCTGCTCATATCAGTTCATAGTTGTTGCAATGGCAGATAATTTGGTCCCTGAAGCTGTCATCAAAATTATTGCATATTTTCACGAGATAGGGAATTAATCCAAATTGAAAGGTGAAGGCTTGTTGCGTTATGGCCATCTAGAGTGATTCATACATAAATTGAATTTGCCAGCATTCCAATTTCTAAAAATCCTGACAATCATCTTTGGTGACTGATGAAACTATAAATTGCTACTTAGCATTCTTCATCCCAATCTTAATGACACCAATCACAACCTTTTGCCCAAATTCCTTAGGGAAAAAAGCCTCAGAGAGAAATCCAACATAAGAAATATAATTACATATTTTTAATTCTCACCTGAAAAGGCTTAATCCTCTTTCCTTTGACAACTTGCACATGAACTGGAATAGAAATGGATTAGATCAGTTTTTTGTTATATGATGTCCTTTTCCTGTTTCACCTTTCTTCCATGCATGAGAAAGTATTCTCCAGTAGGGTAAGTCTATGTGCAATGGTGTCTTCAGTGTATAGCACCCCAAATATTTGTGTTCACAATGTCCATATAGCATACAGCTATTTGAACTGTGCCCTGTAATATACTGTCTAACATGGTTCAGACTGCGTCCAAAGGAGTAAATCATTTAATTCATGCAACACTTGATTCCCCATGACAAGCATCCCTGCAAAGCATGCAGATCAGAAATATTTCAAAAACATTTTAAAAAGCAAGTTTTTCATCCGTAAAATCTAGGGCAGCAGCTGCTGAATGATCAAGTTTGTCCCGCTGTTTGGAATATTACGAAAAAATACCTGCCTTTTGTGAGCAGTCGTAAAACTTATTTTCTTCATACATGACTGAATTTTGCTGATAACGAAATTCATAAAGTTTAAGGGCTTGAATTTCCATCAAAATCGCTTTATTCAATCAGGTTACGCACACATCTGGAAAAATCTACAAGATTATCACTGGCATACAAACTGATTGAATTGTTGTGGTTCTCGTATCATCTCTGTCATACTGTGAGGAGGTAGACTGTGTAAGGAGTTTTGTTGTTACTCATAACTGTAGCCTAATCCTGCAGTCAAAGTCAAGAAAGGATTACAATGATAACTGGCTTTAAGGCATTGATAGCAGAACCACCTAAAATCCATTTTCAACATTTAGTCATGGCTCAAGCAGTTAAATATGAATATGATTGTTGTTTAATACTGAAATCAGTAATATTCCGGCAATATCACAGCGGTCTGTAACGTATGGTCTCGATCAGACAACCAGTGATCGATATCATGAGCATCAAACCACATAATTACAATATGATGACGTGCAATTGTCACCCAGCTTGACCACCATATACTTTTCAATTTTCTCGTAGATCAGGATAGGTTGCATGGGACATATATTCTTATCTAGATTCCCCCCAACAAATATGAGAGGTGTATAAGTTAAACTAGGGCTGGGACAGGTAACCTGGATACCTGGGACGGGTGGGTCATGAGTTGGGCCCGGGTACCCATCTCAATACCCAGACCCATTGTGATCATGTGACTAATAGATTAAACAATGTAATATGTTATTCTTTCATGATAAAAAAGTTTGATTGTCTTTGAAGATTTAGACATAATTACAGTCACTTCTTTTGAATATAATACATGGTTAAGAGATTGAAAAACACTCTAACTTTTAGCCTCTGAGCTGAAGAATATATTGCCATTTCTTTCAAATTTGATGTCAGGAATTAACATAACGGGTATCCGGGCTGGGTAGGTGGTAGGGTAGGGTAGGGCAGGGCAGGGTAGGGCAGGGCAGGGCAGGGCAGGGCAGGGCAGGGCAGGGCAGGGCAGGGCAGGCAGGGCAGGGCAGGGGTAGGGCAGGGCAGGGCAGGGCAGGGCAGGGCAGGGCAGGGTAGGGTAGGGTAGGGTAGGGTAGGGTAATAGGGGGTGAGGTTCCCGGTGGAACATTTGGACTCTTCCCAGCCCTAATTTTAACTATTAATTATTACCTTAGAGACTTGTGCAAGTCTACTCAGGAGACAGTGCCTTTAATCCTTTATATCCACCAAGTTGTTTAGCGCTGAAGACTTGAATAATCCACTGACTTTGCAACTTAATGTACATGTGCTAAGGAAATTTTGGTTTTATGTCTTTAACATCAAGTGACATTTATGTAAGTACTGCTACGGTTATCAGTAAGTCAAGCCATTAACATATCTACTTCTGCGTTAATGGAGAGATGACAAGCTAATGAGATGATGTTATCTTTGTCGGAAAATCTACGACTTCACGAATCACCTCCAGAAGGATGTCATGTGTACTGACGCACCAGCATATTACCCACTCCCACACTGCATAGATGTACTGCACTTACAGCGACAACATCTCTTTGTGCAAGTGAACCAGACTGAAATCTTTGCCTTAACCCTGATCCTAGTCATACAGACCCTGAAGCAAATATATCTAAGAAAGCCCACACAAGTCTAGAAAATGTGGCAAGTCTAGATTTCCCCAGCTTCAGGGTCTCTGAAAATGAAGAAAGTCTCAGGACTCCTTTTCATGAAATTTTATGTGTTTTTACTGTGAACTATTTTCTGTAAAATGTTCATTTCAGAGACACGTTGTTAGTCTACCAGATCTTATGGAGTTAAGTTTTACACCGCTTTTAGCAATATTCCAGCAACATCACCTCGGGGGACACCAGAAATGGGCTTCACATATTGTACCCATGTGGGGAACCGAACCCAGGTCTTTGGCGTGAGGAGCCAACATTTAACCACTAGGCTACCCTCTCCTGATCTTACTGAATCAGCTAGGTCAGTAAAATGTGAGTGAATGAATGAGAAACTATCAGCAATGAGTACACATAGTCAGCATAGTTTCACACTCTTAGGGGCCGTTCATAATTTATGAGTGAGTGAGTGAGTGAGTTTAGTTTTACACCGCACTCAGCAATATTCCAGCGATATGGTGGCGGCCTGTAAATAATCGAGTCTAGACCAGACAATCCAGTGATCAACAGCATGAGCATCAATCTGCGCAATCGGGAACCGATGACATGAGTCAACCAAGTCAGCGAGCCTGACCACCCGATCCCGTTAGTCACCTCTTACGACAAACATAGTCGCCTTTTGTGGCAAGCATGGGTTGCTGAAGACCTATTCTACCCTGCATCTTCATAATTTATGGCTATGGGGGGTGATGATGATTTTTATGGAGAAGCATGTACAATGTGAATGATGCCCACTAAAATTTATGTAGAAAGTAAGTGACCCCACCCTGCATGTCATGTACAAAATCAATGACCCCCCACCCCCTTCCCATAATTTTAAAATATTTTTATGCATAAAATTGCTGCCCCATTCTGTGCTGAGAATAAGGACAAATATGTTACAAGTTGTAATCATTGAATACAGGAGTTTTGCAGCTCTTGGCCCTTCACTTCAGTGGAAGGGGCTAATGAATATTCAGAACGTAACAACCATTATTATCCCAATGGAACATCTGCATTGAAAATTTTACTGAAACTGCCCACTGGGAGTTTTCTACCATTTATTTGACTGTTGCAGATGTCAGAATGGGTGAATAAACCTAAGTGACTGTATCTCAATCATAACATTCCCATTGGTTCTGATATCTAGCCATTGATATGAAACATCATTCAGGGGTGTAGCTACCATTATACATAAAAGCCTGGGCTTACAAGATTGTTGCTAAAAAGGTTGGACAAGCCCTCAATACTATGTAAATATAAAGCTTTGCAACCTATATTGGACTTACACGAAACAATTGGCTTAATACGCACCTGTCATTGATGTTGGAAAGCACTAACTGTCAAGCTGTAAACCCCCCCCCCCCAAATGTTTGTTCTATGCCTACCATGAGTGAGTACTTTTAGCAATATTCCAGCAATATCATGGTGGGGGACATAAAAAATGGGCTTCACACATTGTACCCACAATCAAAACCCAGGCCTTCAGTGTGATGAGCGAACGCCTTAACCACTGGGCTACCCCACCACCCACCACACAGGTTGGGTTGTAGGAATGAGGAATGAGGTTTCAAGGTCAATACACCTTGTTTTTCAAAAGTACTTTTCAATTATTTTAAAAGAAAGATGCACAAGTAACAAGACAAAACCATGGCTGACTATCCATATGGTTATATTCAGCCTTGATAAGCAGCACAACCACCGCCAAGCCTTCACATCACCCTTACACAAAAACATTTAATTCGACTTCGAAAAAGGCAATCTTATTGTGGAAGAGTTTCATCCAGGCAGACATATATTAATTGAACCCATCAAGGAGGAGCGGAGAGGGATGTCAGGGTGTCAAGAACACAAAACAGGTTAGCTGAATCTTCCTTCTTTAAAAACCAGGAGCAAATCAAGGAGATCAAATTCTTGTCTGAAGAAAACCGTGAAAGGTGAAATGTCATACCCCATAGTGGGCTAAACACGGTGGCGTAACAAAGGTGAATGCTGTCTTAAATCATGTTTAAAGGTCCTCCCTACAATATACAGGCTCCTCCATGTGAACAATGTCTCTCAGCACAAAGCATGGAGTCAAGGGGAAGCCGTTCTCCTGGCTTCATTAAATCTTTCGAATACGTATGAAAATATCTTTATGGTGCTGTCGGAATAAATTTTCCTATGTAATGGTTGAGTCTCACAGCGAATTACGGTTGTCGTGGCCCTGAATAATACAGTGATCTAAAGGTAGCCGTTTCAGAAATGCTGTTACTGAAATTTGCACTGGTGTAAATTAGGTTATAAGAAAAGTTTCCAAGTCGGTGAATGATTTGGGTTCTTCTGGCAGTGGGATGTCAACACATTATTGAATTTGTCTGGGTCTGAAGTACATGTGATTGGTGATTGATCAGGTACCAAAGTGTTGGAAAGAATGTTAAGGTTAATACATACAGTGTTGTACAAGATTAACATGACAACACCATCCACCAGACTTCAGGACAGGTCTGTAAATGGAGAAGAACGTTCCTAATGTTCTAAAAAGCTTAAATTCTAAAAGTTTACAACAAGCAAAAAATTCTACAATGTCGACTCTTTCAAAACAACTTGAACTCTGGCTGTAAGTACAAATCATCTCCTGCTTTTTTCAGTAAGAACAAGAGAAGGTGCAATATTTTTGCTTTACATCTTACGTCTGTTGAGTATTTCCATCCAGAAAAGATAAATAGATCAATAATTTAAGCACATGTACATTCAGCACACATTGTGACCATCAGATCCCCATTCTAGTTGACAAGATGTTGAACTGCATTACTGTGTACCTGTTTTGACAAGCATTAGGTTTTATGAACCTGTTCAGATGAGCCTGTAGGATCTACTAGGGCAGGGTTGGAAATAACTTTAAAATTGACAGTGTACTCCGGTACAGTGGCACACGTA